AATTGTTGTCGGTCTGTGAGGTAAGAATAATGTTCTGCTTTTAATATCTTTCTTTTTCTTTTTTTTTTTTACATTTATTTCATTAATTCAACATTTTAATTAGATCTTTAAAATGTAATTTAGTTTATTTAAATCTTTTTAAATCTTAAAATTTTCACTTTTTAAATTGTTTCTTCTATTAATTAGTTTAATGTGAGACGGCCACTGTCATGAAAAGTGACAATATGAAGTTTAACTGTGAAAAATGCAATATAATTGAAATAGGAATGTCTATATAATGAAGTAAAGAATGACTTCCAATAAAATTCTTATTTGTTATTATGAAAAGCTCCACAAGAGGGCAGTCTGTGATAAAAAAGTGTTGCTCCAAAAAGCCATTACTGGGAGGTAGAGGTAAAAGAAAATAACAAAACAATCAAACACTTTGGGGCTGGTAAAGCACATTTTTATTCAAGATGTAATTTACTGAACCTACTCAGTAATTTGTTTGATAATTGTTCAAAGTGAAGTTGACAGATGCATAATAGTGAATAGATGAATGTAGAGATCTCTAAAGCCCAGTTCCAAGTTTTCCACATTGATAAGATGTCCAGCTAACAATCAGGTCAGTCTGTGTCACAGTGGAAAGAAAACCTGTCCTCATCACTAGGATCAGACTGTTAACACGGCCATCAGCAAACCCCCACCCCCTCCCCCCAAAGACTCTGTTCTGGTCTGCTAGTTTCCAAAGTATTTAAAAAGCATGGTGTGAAAAATGGACTCAGGTCAGTTTGAGTTGCCTCAGCAGCTGTCTGGTTGGATCAAACGACCACTTCAACATTCAAGTACTAGAAGATTTTCATTATTAAAATCATACTTTATGGAGCTATTATTGTAGCAAAACTATCTACAAATATGTGTTGTGTAACTGTATCTCAATCTGTGTGTGCATAATCAGATCTGTGAATGTGTAAAATAATCTCTAAATGTGTGTTTAGAATCTGTGTGTGCTTAATCAGCTTTGTAAATGTGTAACAAATCTGTATTCAGATTTGCAAGTGTAAGGATATTTGTACTCGTGTGGACAAATCTGTAAGTGTGTGGACAAATCTGTAAGTGCAGTTACTTATTAATGGAATGAAAAGTCTAAGTACTACTAAGAGCTGGAAATACAGACAAATCATCGGTTACAATTTAGGCGGGTCTCTCAATTGTTGTTGTTCTCAATCTGTTTACACATGACTTTTGCTACACTTCTACTGTGGCAGATCTGTAAATGCGTGTGGAGAGATTTGTCTGTCTGCCACAGTAGCCACGCCCACTTCTGTCTGACGAAAGCCCTGAGGTCATAAGTAACGTACAGTAGTTTGGAAAATGAACCGATGGAGGCAGTTTAATGACGGGTACAGTGCCGAGGTGGTTTATAGCGGCTCCGGGGATGACGGAGAGTCTGGGGATTCAAGAGGGGGGGACAGGAGAGAAGCTAAATGGAGAGGACTAAGAGGGAGGTTGGGTGTCAGCACCCACTTCTGAAGGCCTGAGGGGGCTTACGGTGGGGTCAGCTCTGCGGTGCCAGGAGCCAAACCTTGCAAGAAAACCACCTTGGCTTCCCTGTCGTCAGACTGGTCTCCATCTGTCACAGGTCGGCTGTATTCACACTGAGCTCAGCTAACTCTAGTACTCAGCTTAAGTTAACTAGCTAGCTGCATATTTTAGTAACAACCAGATAATATTTTCTCCATGAAATCATCCGCTTTCACCAAATCAGTAAATAAAGTTTAAAGTTGTGTATTGTACCATTGACAGTATATTTAATGTTTGTACAGTAATCAGTGAGTTTTAAAAATGAACAGTTAATGTGACAACCTCAGCTTTGAACGGCAAAAGGCATTTTTTCTGGTACTCCGCGTACTCCCAACTTTTGATTTACTGAAGACGGAGCTCAATCTATTTGTTTTCAATGTTAGCCTAAAACAATGTGTCAGTATGTGAATCACGTTGCTCCTCATGGTGTGGATCTAAAGTTCTGCATAACCAAAGTTTATCACTATTCGGGTTGCTTATGTGTGCTTTGTTTGGGGAAGTGCAGGAGGGGTTCATGGGAAGGGTCCAGCGACCGCTGGAGGTCCCTATTGTTTTTGCTCAATTTCTTACCTATTATTATCAGCCCCCCCCAAAATATCCTTAAACTACTTTTTCGTGTTCCTCCTACACGCTTTGTCCAATTCGCACAAAATTTTTCACGTAGCATCTGGGGACTGTCCTGGCAAAAAAAGTCTTTGAAGAATTTTGATATTTAAAAAAATAAGCACGCTATAAAATTAGCACTTCCTGTACATTTTTCGTCAAAAAAGAAGCGACCATTTCTCCACATTGGGTGTGTCGATTGACACCAAGCTTGGTCATAGTTCCTCATGTCTTCCTTAGGCATCGTGGCACAATTCAGGCCATTGCGCCACAAGGTGGGCTCTTAAATGAAGAAGTTTATATCTCCACATCAGCCACGTGTGATAAAATTGAAACTTGTACGATGCTTGCCCATGGCTCCCTGAGGCTCCTAAATAAATATGTCCAGGGTCGCAACCTAGGTGGCGCTCCGCTGGCATGGTAAAATCATGGGCGGAGACCGTAATAAGTTATGAATATGAAATTCACAGGGCACGCCATTTTGATTGTTGATTTTACTTTCGGCAAACATTTCGCGTTGTATTGAACGAACTCCTCCCTAGGTAATTCATCGATCTGCTTTAAAATTGGTCTCTACAAGTCAAAGTATGTTCTGATTAAAAGTTTTAAAGAGTTGTGCTATTTGGTGCATGTACGTTAAAGGGCGGTGGTCCGTGGCGTGCTTCAAAGTTGGCCATTTTGAATTCTTGTGGTCATACAAATCTGTAGGATAGAAAAGTTGAGCTTAATTTCTGACTGTACGATCAACGCGCGCACCCAGTGAGCTTGTAAATTCAGCCGATCCGCCATAAAGGCAGTACTCATAAACTTCAGTGGTGCAAATGTCCAATCTCCAATAAATAAATAAAATAAAAATAATATTTATATACTATATATATATGAAGTTTATTGGAGATTGGACATTGCACACTGAAGTTTGAGTACTGATTTTATGGCGAATCAGCTGAGATTTGACAACGCAACTTTCCAAGATAAAGTTAATAATTTGCAATAAGCTGCTTAAAATAAAAGCATGAAAAACATCAGCTAAAATGATCTATAGCTATATGATTACAATCCAGAGCATGTGCATGTTTGGTCAGTGATTTATTTTATGAGGTTATTACAGCATTTAAAGAGCACAGGACCTAACAAAGGAGGTGTATTTGTCAAGAACGCCTTGTAGAAATGATGGAACTCAAATATAAGTTAACCATCCAAAGAATCAGAACGTTGAAGTACAGAGAACATTACCTATATTAATCCATATATCACAGCTTAAATAACATTAGGTTAACTCATTATTTCCTATATTAATTATGGTAAATGTTAATGGTTAAGTAAATGTTAGCAGTTTCACTATAACCATGCATATGAATGCTAAGTTAAGTCACAAAGTTATTGTTATATCCATAAACTATTTTAAGGTGTCTGTTATGACAAATTTATCACCATCATATTTTAAATATTTCCATTTTCTTCTGCTACAGAAGTTCCTGGAGCCCGGCCTCCGAAAAGAGCAACTCCCTTCAAAGGGCAGCAGCCAACCCAGCAGCCAGACCCTCCAAGCTTAAGCTTAGCCAATATTATATATTTCATATTTTGGTTCAAATGTTTAAATATCTGCTGTTCATGATGTTCATTCATTAGTGTCTATATGATTTTCAAATGTTGTCCCGGTTTTAAAATAAAGCACAGCAATGATATTTGAGAGTGTTTTCCCCTTTTCAGAAAAAGTATCGATCGCAAAATTCTGACTTGGTATCGGTATCGAAACAATAATTTTGGTATCGTGACAAACGTACACACATACACAACACACATTACATACCACGACACATTTTTTATATGTGTGTGTGTGTATGTATGTGTATATATGCCAATAATCCAGACAATATTTACATATATCACCAAAAGATGAAACGTGTTTGCCTGTCTGTTTCAGAAGGTGAATGGCGTTCTGGAGAGTCCCACAGGCACTGGTAAAACCCTGTGCCTACTGTGTGCCACCCTGGCCTGGAGAGAGCACTTCAAGGACACAGTCTCTGCCCGCAAAATTGCAGAGAGGCTAGGTGGTGAGGTGATGTTCCCAAACACGCCTCTGTCATCCTGGGGGACGGCTGCTACAGACGGTGACACACCAAGTATGTTCATATATCACATGGCAATGCAGTTTGAAATATTTGAGTGGTTGTCTACTTCATGACCTAATAAACACCAGAATTAGTTAGTTAATTAGATTTTTATTAAATTGTTAGGTCAGTAGATATGACCAAGCTAAAATGTGAGTTGTCAGTGTGCCGACAGGCGACTTGACTTGAGATTTGAAGGTAAAAATGTTGAGGACCTGACTTT